GGCACTCGACTCGCAATTTGAGGGTCGCGGGTTCGAATCCCCGTCCTACCAGCCGTAGGGGCGTTATAATGTGATGGTCAATCTCACTATTCGTTGGTAAAAGAGTAGCCCAAGAGGGGTGGTGATGACTAGCTGCCTTCCCTCTAGTCTTACACTGCTAGATTAGGGACGGCTAGCGCAGATAGCCCTCGTGTAGCTTTGCGCGAAATTCAAACAAAAACTCATAAGAATCAATAATCATTTGGTAACGATATCAAACAATTGCAAAGTATTCCACTCTACACTTCGATGACTTAAAAATGCTTTAATTTTTGTAAGAATAAAGTAAACAATTAGATTCAAAACGAAAAAAGGTTCATAATGTTGGTAATATAATAAATGATTTAGAAGAAGTGTCTAATCAAAATTTATTAACTAATTTTCGTATATTTGTCTGCTTGTGAAGGAGATTGTAGGTTATTTTCCATTAACTTTCAGATCTTATAGAAGGAGAAAATAATATATATATCTTTAGATATATTTCAAATAGTTTAATGCTGCAACCTTTTCAAGATCAATTTAAGATAATCCATAGTAACGAGCTGTTTATAGAAATAAAACTTTCCCGGGAACTAAATCTACGTGTTTGCTAAGCTGATATGTTTATGTGTTGTTTAAGCTACCATTTTCATTTGTGTGTGTGTATAAACCGTTATCTCTAACCAGTAAATGTGACTGTTTTTAGGAAGAATCGTAAACGTTTGGTCTCTTTCGCTCATTAGTTTTCACGTGAGCCTAAGCATGAGATAATAGCTTTCTTGTTAGCCTACGCACGAAAGATTAGGTTGGTGGTTGTTATTTTAGCGTAAAGCTACACAATGAGCTAGCACAATTGAGCCTCGAATTCTAGCGTTGTAAATGCGTAAACTTACCTCGCTGACTCACCGTGTGACGATTGTAAGTATATAACAATATTAGTGTCAAGTGGATAAAAACAGCTGTTGAAATATTTTCAAATCAGCGATGATAAAGAAAAGAAATATTACTGTGGGCTCGAGGAGACTCGAACATCGTGTCACCCGGAGATTTAGGTTTGATGATTTTCAGAAAATAAATCATTGAACGTACATTGAAGTTCTATATATATTAAATTAAATTAGTCCGTGAATGATTCAGAAGTAACAATTAAGCACTGAAAAAAAGGTTTTGTTTAAAAACGTTGGTCTCAATTTGAATTGCTAATTTTTGCTCACATAAAGAAATTCAAATATATTTCATAAAGCTTCGATAACAGTTAAAATATGTGCAAATGTAGAATTGTTTCATATCATACCTGAATTATAGTTACTGGCAAGAAAGAAAAATTGAAACCTTTCTGTACAATAGCTTTATCTGCTTGATAAACACAGATTTTGAAGGTAGAGAGAAAACAATTATATGCTTACCTAACATTTTGAATTGTTATAAAGAGTCTGTAGAAAATGACGTTTTTGAGATCAAAACTACACAAAAAGTAAGTTGAATTATGTCTATCAAACCCCACATTTTAGCATTATAAGTCCATAAACTTACCACTGACCAACCGAAGGGCTGTAGAAAAAGAGTTCAGTAATAAAGCAGCGACGTGATGATTTATAAACATTACTCACTAACTTTTTTTTTCTAATTTGAGAGTTGGCCAATAGAGTGGAAGAACAACTCTCCGAGTTGTATATATATATATATATATATATATATATTAAGTAGTGACTTCTGGAACGCCATGAACACATCTGTTCCGCAACTCCGAACTATACAGCATATAACTCCATTTTTTTTTACACTTATGTATTGAAAGATCTGTAGTAATGATCTAACGCAATTGTCCTACTTTTGTCACAGTATCATTGATTTCTACTAAGCTAGCATATGCGCGGCATATATATATATATACACATATACAAAATGTATAATGAAACTCAGGTATTTTATTCATACCGCTTGTCATAATGTAATAACGTATTCCCAGAACCATGTATTAAAATTGAGAAAGGAAGTTTTGAAACTTGGTATTTTCAGTGGTTACGTTTATTATGAAATAACGGAACATCTTCCAGAAAAGGTCGGGAATAAAACAGCATAAAATTTGTTTGAAAGAACAGTTTTTGAAATAAAATGATTTTTTGGAGTTTTCTTATTGAAAAATAGGTAAAATAATGTGATTTGTTTAAATGAAAAATAAAATAACAACTGTAATCAATAAGATAATTATATAACAATAAAAATAATGCCTCATTCTAATTATCTTGCATATGAAATAAAAAGTTTCTCTATTATTATCTGGAGAGTAAAGGTCAGTTTATTTCTAACTTTATTTCCAAAATACCTTATATATAATACGTGTATATAAATATTTACGTATTTTCAATTTGGTATTAGGAAACGATAATGTTAACATGCTTTATAAGTCATTAAATAATATCCAGACTATATATCGAACAGTAAGAGGGTAAATTAGAGGAAATTTATAACTTTTTGTATAATACAGATGGGAACGCTGGGCCTAGAGAAACAAAAAAGGGGTTTAATTAAACATATATGTATATAAACATATCTATGAAAGCGAACTATGTATAGTATATTTTGATAATAAAAACCACAAAGTTTGCTGTTATTTACCTTATTATTGAATTCGGTAGCAAATTTTCTAACTCATAGTATCACACATACAGAAACGTACGTTAGTTATCAAATATAACTTAAATATATAAGTGAAAAGTATGCTAATGAGACATAGATTATCGTAATAGCCAGCGAATTAAGACGATAAAAACTCAGCTACTAATAAACAAATAGAAAAGTGATGGCAGTTGATAAGTTTGGAGATGTTTATACTAAGTTAGCCTTCCCAAACATGGGTATCATCGGAGACTTCTTACTATTACTACATGAGGAAAATACAAAAATAAGACGAGAAAATGGGATAAAAAATGATATTTTTATAGGAAAAGCTTTATACTGAGAGGGACATAGAGATGGAGAGGAGGGGAGAAAGGTATTTAATATTGGAAAGCTGTATTTTAAAGTTCAGGTGCATGTTAACATGCAAGACACATTTGTATAAAGACTTCCCAAAGTCTGGAACTATTATATAACAAAAATTATAATACAGTTTTAATTAATTTTTTTTCCATTAAACTATACCGTGAAAGGTTAATTTGATTGATCGGGTGGATTTTAATTAAATATTATTCTAAGTTTCTAACTAAATTCATTATCTCGTCAAGTGCTATAATGATAGGTTTATAATTGAAAGATAATTTCCTAGTTGATTGGTTATCGTACCTTAGGGTTAATGTATCTCTTAAGACATATTCCACACTTGAGAAATTGGCTATCAAAGTGACGTACAACTGGCCATGGGCCGATTTCAACTTCACGGTTCTTGGACATATCTTTCAGGTACCCAGAAAACAGGAATTTCAAGAAGAGAGGAAAGGTGAGCACTGGAAATTCTAGAAAGTATGAAAAAGATTGTCGATGATTCATAACAATTATTCATACACCACTTGTAATATCAAATGCTGAGCAAAAGAAAGTAAGCCTACTTCTAAGCACAATACACGTAGACATAAAAGGCTTTCAAAACCTTTTCTAACTTTTCACAACAAATCTTGCATTAAACAACACACTAAGCTTACTTGTAATATTCCTGGAAAAACAACTATAGGGCGTAGCAAACACTGAGCTTTGTTACAGGGAATTCTGGGAAAGTTCGCTTAATTAAAAAAAAAGTTCTACACGAAAATTCATTGCATATTTTAGTCAAAGGTTTATCTTACATTTTTTTATTTTGACATGGAAATTTTTTATAACGTTTCTCAATAATCTATTGAATGATTTTTTTGTATTATGAAAACATATTGGTAATGCAAAAAAAACACCCTATTTTATATTTATTACAGCTCACATCTTCACAGTCAGTTGTGTGTATTGACTTATTCTTCAAATTTAATGTTGCATAAACTTCAATATCACGTCACAACCCAACGAGTTCTTGAATTAATTCTTTTATACAGCCAATAATGGTTACATTTATGTTTGCAGCATCTAATTCATTAAAGCTAAAAATAACTCTTTCTTTTAACTCATAAGATATAAAAAAGAAAAAAAAACATTACACTCAAACATCAACAGATTTAATGCTAAACGTTTAAAAAATCAGTCGAAATGCTTTCGTGGTTACGAAGAAGAACAAAACAGTAACAATTTCGTTACAGATCATGTACACGTTGTTCATATATTGTTGTACATTTTTAATAGAATAGTACAGAAATTAGAAAACGAGACTATAAGAAAGATAGGGACATTATGTGGATAAAAATTGGTAACTCATTCTACTATGTGAATTTGAATATGCTGGATCTGAAAACCTAGGTTACCAAGTTTTATTTTCCCTTCAACTTCCCTTAATTCCGCTTAAGTACGAACAAAAATTAATCAACTTTCAAATTCTTTGCCTCAGTCATATTAATTTGTGCATTATTTTTAACAGTGTGCATATAGCAGATGTTTGAGTAGTTTCTTTGATTAGACCATATGCAGCTGCAGACAGATAATTAACTATGTAAATTTATTTTGTTAAAATAAGTTGGCTTATTATTATTCATATATACATATATAAACTCCAATTCAAGGTTTCACTTTTAGATTGTTAAGTACAATAAAACTTGAACCATTTCTTTTTTCCCTAAAATATTCTTTATTAAAACAGTTTCATAGCATCACAGTCAACTCTTCACTAGAAACATCTGCCCTGAATAACCTTCATGTTTCTCCAGAGCTACCCACAGTATAGTTGAGATACATCTAATATATATGCATGTTTAAGTTTTGTAGAGTGAAATAGCAGTGCTTAACTCTACTGTGAGTACTAACTTGTAGTTAGTAACTGTCCACGTGGTTGTATAACGCACAACTGGTAGCCAGTGACAAGGTTCAATGATCATATGAGAGTACTCTAGTTAGGCTGAACAAGAGTACTTTACAAGTATATTATTACAGAAATCTGGCCAAATCGCTCACATCAGTTTACATTAGTGTAAAATGCGTACCCCGTTTAGATATAATACAAGGAAATACAGAAATGCTGTTCCTATCTTTATGTGGTTAATAAACAGCTACAAAGTAGAAATAAAAACTGAATTTATAAACTGTGTATTTTATGCTCTTTATTTCTAATGAAATAAAAATTAAATAAACAAACACGAAGAATGATGTTGGCTTTCTGAATAAATAAAGTGTGGAAACTTCATGTAAGTAAACATACATTTTCGTAACACAATGGTGTGAATTAATGACCTCGAAGATAAGGATGATGGGATTCCCCATTTTGTATTCCTTCCCTGAAGGTGCAGGAGGTTGATAAATTTAATTACACCAGGTGTAAAGTCCTATAAAATAATAGTTTGAAACTTTCAGACGATCGAAACAAATACAGTAAAAATGTGAGTTTTTTCATTTGTTGGTTTGTAAAAAGATTTTATTTACCTTTTGTACATATAGGTTTATAATTCAATGCGTTCATTAGGTCCAAATAAAATTAACAATGATGTTTACCAATTTTTCACCAACCATCATTAATGTTCTCAAAATACTTAATTTTTGTAATAGTTCACTGTGTAGAAATACACTAATTTAAGATAAAAAATGTAAATTCGGGCTTCCAATATCTAAAAATGAAACATATATGTAACAAACAACTCTTATTTACCGGGTTTTATGAATAAGACTTGTAATTTTTTTATTTTAAGTTTATAAACCGAATCCTTAGAACTGTGGAATGAAAACGACTGACATATTTTGATTCTTCATTTTGAGACTTTTCCAAAAAGTAAAATATGAAACCTATATATTTGGATTCAGCACATGTAAATTAGCTTAAAAACGTAGTTATCGATTTTTATCTAAAAATGCCTCTTTTCAGTCACAATGTATATTTTCGATACCAGCCCCTATCATTCACAATGTCTGATTTCGATACTAACCCCTATCAGTCACACTGACTGTTTTTGATGCTAGTTCCTATCAACAACAATATTTGATTTCGGTATTAGCCTCTATCAGTCACAATGACTAATTTAGATACTAGCCTCTATCCGTCACAATGACTATTTTTGATGCTAGTCCATATCATCTATTAGTCACAATGCCTGATTTAATTACTAGGCTATAAAATAGTTTTACACGTATGAACGCTGTCACTGAACTTTAACATTATGTGAACTATAAAACCTTACAGCTTGATATATAAAGACGTTTTAGTTTTTTGGGTTATTGGGTATATAAATCGATCTAAATGTATAAATCACACTTTCTTTAATTCACAATATCCACTAGCTTAACGTACGATGTCAACACGTTTTTTTTATTCGGTAGCTAAGAAAATGGAAATATTTATAGTTAATTTACTAACATATATGTTTACAATATAATAAAAGACATTATGAAGAACAGCTGGTAAAGAATCCCAGTAAAACAGAACAGCGATAACTCACGAACCACGCCCTGTTGTTACACATGCGCCCTCTGTAGGCAAATAATCGTCTTGCATGAAATAGCTTGTAATACAACCAAACAGATGCTTCGATCCCATATGACAGTCAAACCAGTTTTGAACTGAAATATCTCGAAGCATATCAGACCCTTCTGAACCGGCTGGGTCGTTAGTGGATTGTACTAGCTAATAACAATAATATTTTACATGTGCAAAGGATATAAAATATACGAAAGGTATAATGTTTTGATCATGACAAATCTTTACAGCCGTTCATGGTTGTTAATAATTGACTTGTTCATCACTTAGGCAAGTAAATTCTTCTGACGTTTAGTACCCCAGTGGCACAGCGGTAAGTCTGTAGACTTATATCGCTAGAAACCGGGTATCGATGCCCGTGGTTGGCACCGCATAGATAATCTATTATGTATTTGTGTGTTTAACGATTAGTAAGTAAAATCCATTAAAGACATAACATGTTGTGAGGGTTACCTTTTGTATATTTTATATCCTTTGCACACGTAAAATATTTTTGCTATCAGCTAGTAAAATCCATTAAAGACATGACCTGTTGTGAGGGTCATAGATAAAGAGATCATGATTAAGATTAATAAATACAAAAAAAAAATGCTTCAGGACTTAAAAATCACAGTGATGATAGTAATGTAAATATACTATTATCTCAACATGAAACTATACTGCATTATTTAATGAGTTTAAGTGGTCATAAAGATCGTCCTCTTTATGATAAAAAATAAGAACTCGAAAGAAAGGGTTTGCTTGTTTGCTGAATTTTGCGAAAAACTACTCGAGGGCTATCTGCACTAGCCGTTCATAATTATGAGGTGATAGACTAGGCGTGTTGGCACCCCCTGTGGGTGCGAAATGAGGGTCCAGGGGTGCACGGAAGAGGCCTATACAAGGTTCGTTTTCCCCCAAATATCGCCAAAGTAGTGTATATCAAGTTGTTGGGTTTAGGCATTTCATGCAATTTATTAACATGAAAATGGAAACAGTTTTTGTTTTGATGATTAAGGAAGAAAGAAATGAATTTGCTTTAAGTGCGTGTGTGCGCAGAAATGCACACTTTTTAGGGGCGTGGGATTCCTTAGGGGGTGTGAGGGCCACGAAAGGTTGGGAACCATTGGACTAGAGGGAAGTCAGCTAGTCAACACGACCCACAACCAACCTTTGGGGTTACTCTTTGCCAACGAATAATGGGATTTACCATCATGTTATAACGCTCCCAAGCATGTTCGGTGACAGAATTCGATCTCGCCACCCGCAGATTGCGAGTTGAATGCCCTAATAACCAGGCCATGCCAGGCCTGAAAGAAAAGGATGGTTACTAATTTATATATAAAGTCAAGACCTGTTTTGTACTCAGAACGCTTAATTAGAAATTCACCATGTAAAAATGTTGAGAATATGATGCTATTATCTTATAAGTATGATACCTGTTGATTTTATAAATAATTCAGAATATGGCAGCTCCAAAATAACAGAATAAATCAATCATTAAAACATTGTGTCGATTGAAACTCATTAGTTACCGACATTTCCACGAGGGATGTTACACTTATGAGCTTTTATTCTGTACATTAAAGCGATGTACTGAAATTAAAATTTTGATAGGATTGTTTTAAGATTATCTTCTGAAGAGAAGTCGTATCTTCTGCGAAATGTTAGGGTTCATTTAAACAGCCACTGTTCTCGATTAATACTCGTGAAGATAGCGAAATAATGAGAAGAAAATACATAGGTTTTACTTTCAGACCCATATACGACACGTTGTTAAAGAACAATAACAAAGGAACTGTGATATGAAGTTTATATGAAGTTGAAGAATGATGAGGTGTAGACATTATCAATATAAAATTAAACAGCCAAAATTTATTGGTACTTAAACATAAACAAGAAACATCTGGTTAGAAACTCAAGAGATCCGTCGACGACTGA